GTACCTAGAACAGCTAAAATTGAGTCCTGAAGTTTCCAATTTATCCTCTTTCCTCGCAAAATTTTCCCAGCAACCTAACACAAACCGAAGACTAGAAATCACACAACGGTACCTGTGAAACATGAGCAGTGCCAACCAAGTACACATCACATGTGCCACCCTCGGCCGCTGACTCACACGTGAGAACCACGACGCTTCTGGATAGCTCATCGGGAGGCACTTCCCTCCTCGGCTCCGAGGAACCCTCAGTCTCCGCGCCATCCACCGAAACGGGTTCCCCCTCATTTGGCAACTCATCCTCTACTTTCACGATGCTCTCGCTCAATTCCTCCATCTTAGGGCTAGGCGTTTCAATGTGAACAAAGTCCTCGCTGGCGGGTGGCTCAGACTCCGGCGGCGGTGCATGAGGTGGATCCATCGCCGGAAATATAGGGTCGAGTCCTCGTTGATAGCCGGTGATGGCAGAAGCAATAATTCTGGGGTTTCGAACGCCACAAGATGTGAAATTAACGATGTTTGGAGTGAGTCGAAGAGGGATTCTGGCAGGGATGCTTTCAATCAAGAAATGGTGTGAATCGCGCGAGTTGAGCGAGGTGATTGTGCGACTCAAGCGATTCATAAAAATCGAGCCTATGAACCGGGTAATCACTTTGCTGTTTATAAAGATCTTATTCGGATCAACGTTCCTATCGTGTACATTTTCACTGCATATTTATTTAACATTAAGTTTGCCCACTGGGTTCTGAGAAAATAAAGAAGGAAGATTTTGTTTCTTTTATTTTTAATGATTTTATTACTTTTTTTTTTTATAAGATGATATTCGACAAATTCACTAATTATTAAATAAATAAAAATTAATATGTATTTTGTAAAAAAAAAAAAAAAATTAATTTAAATATTTAAAAATATTCTAAAAATAAAAATTAATCCTTGGCAATTTGGGGTGACGCTTGGGTACCCACGTCACCATCGCTGTAGCAACTTATTCGAGACCGAAAAAGAAACAAGGAAAATAATTATTATTATTATAATAAGAGCAAACAGGAGGAGCAAGAAATCAATCCCTAAAACCGCAAGCTTTTCAGTATTCGTTTCTCTAGACTGGAGTTTCTCTCTCACTGCTTCGGAAGCTTTCTGCATCAATGATATTTGGCTTTTCGTCAACTGGTCTATCTATCGTCTTTTCTCCGGGTACGTTTACTGCACCTATTTTGTCTTAATCTCCTTATGGTTACCTAAAACCGTGGAAGATAAAGGAGAATAAAATGGTAAGTTCTCGAATCTCCATTCGTCATCTCGTCTTATGGCCTCAGGTAGCAATTTAGCCTAAATGAAAAGTTATGATTCTGTATTTCGAATTAGTTTACTTTTTTCTGCACATCCAACGAAGCACGATGTTATTAAGCTCGTGCTCTTTTTTCTGTGATTTAATTTATTTTTTAAATTTATCGTTTGGTGCAGGAGTTGTTCTATCAGTAATTGAATAGTTTGGAGCTATCTATAATAACGAAGCTTGTATGATATTTTATTCTGTGGTTCATTTGGATATTCTCTCTGACAAAGGGAACGCGATTGTTTAAGCTGGAAGACTAGGCTTCTTTATCTTGATAATCATGGTTGAGAGGAAGCTGTATAAAACGAAGTTATGTGTGTTGTACGAAAGAGGTCGTTGTTCACGTCAGAATTGCTCATTTGCACATGGAAATGCTGAGCTCAGGCGATTAATCGATTCCTATCATGGAGGTAATGACTTATTTCTTCAAGATAACGTTTGTAAACTGAAGTAGTGATTAGCTGTTTCTTTCCATTTTTTGCATGGAGTATGTGGATGAAAGCCGTGTATGCATAGAGTTAGAACCCAAGTCCTTCCAATCAGAAACATAGACTTCTCTGCCACCTAGCAGATGCCAAATGGTTAATAAGCATTGGGTTAAATCCAAATGGGAATTTGTAAAATTTTTACATATATACCTCTTGGCTTGTGAGGCTTGATGGTGCCCTAGTGTGCAAATTTATGTTGAAAGTGTATATTTGTTGTGGTTTTGTTGTCCTTTGGCAATCATGAGTAATTGGGATTGACAAGAGCAAAACCATGCAAAATGGTGTCAACCTGGAATTTTTCGATGATGATGAGCTGCTAGTGTAGTTCTGCTGCCTTAATGATATTTTTTTTTTGTAGTGAATTTGTTTACAACCGTTGGTAGGTTGAGGTTTTAATTTCCCTCTTGCAGTTACATTTTGGTTGCAAATTCTCTGTGGCTTGTTATCTGTATCTAACTTAAGATAATTGTGTGAGAAACATACTAATCCATAGAAAATGCACAAGTAATTTCTGCCATGTATTGCATTTCAATGCTTTGTTGCTAAATGCATTTCATGCAGAAAGCTTACACAGGAGAACCCTGCAATCTAAAAGTTACAAAACTCGTCAGTTCCTGACTTGTGTTCCTTTTGCATTTACTTGGTTGTGTCAGAAACTGTGAGTTAATATGTGGATCTTGTCATTCCACTAAATCATATGGTGCCTATATTTGTTCTATTACCATACTTGAAGTGCTCACGGCTATGGAATGTGGACCATTTCAATGATTGAAACTTACAGACATTGGTTGATTTTATGCTACCTTGAACTAAAGGGCATGGTACTTCTGATGACTGATGTTTTTAAATTCTGATGATTGATATGTATGTGAGCGGAATGATAATATTGTGACCTTGAGATTGGATTTCAATCAGAAGTCTTGAGAACACTTGCATTGTTAAGCAATAAGGCTGTTGCATTAATACATGAACTATCAACTAACAGGTTAGTATTGTTTTACTTCAGAATGGATTCTTGGTTTGTCATAATGCTCTCACGAAACAGCAGTATTTATGATGGATCTGTTCTAAGTTTTTGTTGGATATTTATTTATCCATGAATTGGGATCACAAGCCTATTTGCTGAAACAATCAAATGTCATTTATAGTAAGTTCCGCAGTTTGTATGTTTGTGGAGCATGTGGTAAGAGCTTCATTTACATCTCCTTCAATTACATCAAAAGGGGATTTCTTGGATGGAGAAAGAATGCAGTTTTTATGGGATTGTCTGAAGAATCAAAATCCCTTGCATGTGGATGGATATTAATTCTATCATTATATGGCCCTGGGAAGAAAATGGTACTATCCAGATTACATTGTATTTCTTGTTGCTCAACACGAACGTGGAGATCTATCAAGTATTATATACCCAATTCATCTTTGATATACGACGGGTTATATCAATCATATAAGCTCAAATGTGGATTTTCTGTTTCTATTCATTAGACGAGAGCTCTAGTTTTTGTGATCCCTTTGGAACTGGCAAGTAAGCACCATTACTGTTTGCTATTATGTTACTCATGCTGTTCCATGCCTTTTACATGCCGAGCTGTCTTATTTGTTTCTTCCCATCAATGCAAAAGCTTTTCTTTTACTTAATATCATGGGTATTCTTATTTGAAATGGAGATTGGTAGTAATTCTCATCTGGTTGTACTGGAACTCTTATCTTTTTCATTGCAGGTAGGTGGGAGAGTCGAGGTAATGACTTGAGGGATAAGCTTGACCGAAGGCTATCCCATGATCGAAGGTTCTCTCCTGGAAGAGATTCAAGAGGTCGACCAACGTTTAGTGGTAGAAATTACTGCTTAAAATCATCTACTTCTTCTTGTGGCAGTCTAATCTCTCTCTCACATCCCCCTATTTGTTTTGCATCTTAATATTTCTTCATTATTGATTCTATTTGCCTCTTTAATCCCCTCATTTCTTTCATCACTTCCGTAACTGTCTTGACTTTCTATTCTTTTTGGCTGCTAACCATTTCTTCTTAGTTTTCCTCTTGTTGTTCTTATGTTCTGTTGAAATTTATAATTGCAGGATATAGCCCTCCGAAGTCTTTCGAGAAGAAGAGGTAATTAAAATTCTTTGATAAGTTTTACAATGTCTTCATTATGTATTTGACTTCAAAGTTTCTTTTAGGTTTTGCCTTCATTCATTTTGGGATATGTAGACAATTCTTATGCCATAGAATCAACTTTTTGTTCTCTCTTTTCTATTTTATGTTGGTCCCCAAACTGAAAAATGGAGATCTCCAGAGGCAAATCTAAATAGTAAGAAATAAATGGCCATGGCATAACATTACAACAAAGTGGGCATTTCTTAATGCATTTTAAGATGGAACGAGAAAGAATGCAGAATGGAGAAACAAAATTCTCTCTTGGAATTTATAGCATGCAGGTTGTCATTGAGGTTAATGCTGTGGGAAGGTTTTGGAATAGGTTGTTCTCCGTGTTTGGCATTTTATGCTGTATCCTCCTGACTTGATATCTTTATCTCTGCTTTTTTGCATGGTTTTGGGTGGAGTGAGGAGCATATGGTGATATGAAGGGGCATACCTATGTACAATAAGTAGCATTAGAACTACTGGGATGATTTAGAAATAGAAGAAATTTAGGTGAGAAAACTAGAAGTACACCTAAGGAAATTGGAGATCAAAGAGAAGAAGTATTGTGAGAATTTGGATGAAATAGGTTAGATAGAATGGTAACTAGAGAATGAACACAGAGATAATTGTTAATACAACTCTAACAAAAGAAATTCTCATTTCATCATCCTCTAATTGTCTAATCATAACTTCTTTTATTTGGGATACTGAAGTAATGAAAGAGGAAATGGGAAGTTTCTAATTCTTAATAAATTTAATATCTAAATAATAGTATTGATTATCAAAAACTTCTCTAATAGTAAATTATTTCCAAATTTACAAGTCTGCATTATTCTCTCTATAATATCGTTAAATATTTTATTTTGCCCCACTTTTTTATGCGTAATAGTAGCAAGTTTTTTTCTATCTGTTTTTGACTTTATTACGCATGTATATTTGGCTGAAAATATGTACTTATTTCGTGACAGAGATAGAGAACACAAGGAGAGACAAAAGCTGGGTTCTCAAAGTGATTATCCTGGAAGTTTGATAGGCACAAACAGACCTGAAGATCATGCTGAAGAAGGAAAAGATACAACTTCTAATTCCCAAAATATTCTTGAGGAGCAGGTTCAAAGATTTTGTTTAATATTCCTACTTCATTGTTCCATTTTGAATAATCTAATATAGAAAGCCTGTCATTTCAGGTAGTAAGAATTGTGGGAATTTTTCCTTTATGCCCATAATGGCAACTCACTCATACCAAAAATTTATGGGGAACTACTTTTTCTATCAAAAAAAGAAAAAAAAAGATTTATGAGGAACAAAATAAGCTTGGTCACTTGATTTTTTGATCATGACTTTTTATAGAAGGAAAATGTTAACCAAACTTGGGGCTGGCAGTAGTAATTTATTAAGGCAAGTTATAAAAGAGTTTTTGAGATTTAGGTATAACTGTAAGTTAGTTTATGAGTTTAGAGAATTGTTTACTCAGCTCTTGGTTGATAAATCATTGTTTCATCTCATGATAGTGCATTTAACTCTGCCTGGACAAATATTAGCAGGTCATACTAGTAAATCATACATATCTTGTTATGAGGGTACTAAAATTACGTATAACAATCACATGCTAAGTAGTCATCTCTGTTGTATTTTGGAATGGCTCAAGAATGCACATTATGTACCCATAAGTTTATCTTCCTCTCGTATTCTCTAATTGCTACTTTTTGGAACTGTGTTCAGATAAAAGAAGTTGAGTTGGACGTTGACATGCTTGATCGCCGCAAACTTCAGTTAGGGGTTAGTTACTCCTTTTAGCTCCAAATTTTGTTGTTCAGATCTTCTGCTCTCTGTTTGATTCCTAGTCCTCTTATACAATTTCATGCATTTTTGGTTGGTGGAAGACGAAATTTGGATACACTTAATTGAATTTTTATTTTGCTTCTAAATTATGGTAGTTTAACTTAGTTATTTCTAGTTAAATTATTCTTGTCATTTGAGTGTAGCACAGTTTTTAGTTACGTGGTATTCTTGCAAGTATGGTTTTTCCTTCCTCTATCTAAAAGGAAAACCCTGGTTGTGGTATGTTCTTCATTAGTAAACATTTTGTAAGATGTAGTTTTTCAATAATGAAAATTCCACAGGTGGCTCTATGGAGTAGGCTCCATCACTTCACCATAGTAAAGACTTTTTTTCTCTCACTTTCGCTTAAATCTGTTATGCTTTGTCGATATTTTCTTTATGTTCATATCTTCTCGATTGGACCAGGCTTCGCCAAAGCAACACCACCAACTAATCTGACATACTGCTCGAAATTAATGCAATAAAAGTAGAAGTACTTTTAAATTTTATGTTAATAGTGCCACTTTATTTTTTTGAGCCAGTAGCTACTGAACGCAGAGAGAACACAACTTAATGAAGACTTTTATCTATATATTATGCATAGTTAACAGCAGTCAGACTTTTTCAGAGACATCCATTTTTATCATTTTTTGAGTGTCTTTTTCTTTTGAAAAAGAAATAGCGAAACACAAATGTAATTTCTAAGTAAACTTAAAGGAGGTTTCTAACCAAACATCGGCATAAGTTCCTTTTTTTTTTAAGCTCCAGATTGTAGGGTTGCAGAAAAACTGATTATAATGGTTGATGCGATGATCCATGTTTACGAGTCTTTTGTCCTTCTGCATCATTTTGTTTCCATCTTACATGCATGTATTATTTTCCTTTGTGTGTTTAAGCAAAAAAATTTATTCTTTGTTCTACAAAAAAGAGAAAAAATAACAATAATTAGTTTATGCTTGATGGCTGATGCATATCTTTACAAAGATTGATATTGAAGAGAAGGTTCAAGAAGCAGACAGCCTTACTTCTAGGATCAATGAACTTGAGGCCCAATTAGACAAGGAGAAAGAGGAATATAATAGGTAAGTTTTGAGGATACTAGGCTTCATTTACTCTTCTCTTTCCTTCTTATGTTTAAAAAAGAAGGCATAAAAGGCATATTTCATGCATATTTATTAATAGGTATTTTATTTCATGGAACTCTTCCTTTTGGCAATATGATCTCTCCTAACCACTTTGCTTGGCTATTACCATATCAGGATTAGTTCAAAAATCAAGAAATTTGTCAAGGTACATAATCGTTTATCGTGGGTACAAGACGAACTAAAGAGGTAATGTTCTTTTTTACATTTCTATATGAGTTTTCCAAGGAGCTGGTAAATTCAACTTCTAATTTATATTATCTAAATACATAGGTCACAAGCTCGCCTTAAGAAGATGGGAGATCAGCTTCTCTCAGATGTTACTAGAACTGAAGGCAATGAAGAGGACTTGAGCATCAATATTGTGAGTGATGCGGAAACAGGTTATCATGTATTCAGTCCCCGTAGTGAGAGACTGAATTATTCTTCACGGAGCAAGAAAAGATTGCATTCTGACCGAGATGCTGCTAAAGAATCTATTGCAGATGGTACTTTAATTGATATTCCTGTGCATTAAACATGTGGCTGCTGTAATCTCTTATACAGATTTAAGTTCAGCTAACTTGAGCAAACTTATAATCTCGAGGTAGGTTGGTCTTTGTCCTTTTCTTTTTGATTGGTAGAATGGGAGTGAGAGGGCTGGAGGTGAGGGGGGACTGATCATTCTTTAGAATGATAATCCTAATTACATATCTTGAGCAATGTTGAAGGTAAAATTAGTATCAGGCATTGAAACAGGCTTTTATATTCCCATGTTATTGCAGATAAAATTTTGGGATTACTTGAGCTTCTAAGCATAAATTCCCTTTCAACTTGATCTTACCCGTTTCCTTATCTTGTCATCGGGTATCAAATAAGATAGCAAATGGTGTTTCGAAGTCTACTTGATATGACTTTTCCTGCTTGTGCCTTGTTTTTTTTTAAATAGAAGTAAGAGTAGTATTAATATTCCTGCTTGTGCCTATGAATATGCGGCACATGCCTGTCTACTATAATGCTTATAAACTGCATACCTAATTTTTTCTAAATAGAAGTAAGAGTAGCATTAATATTCCTGCTTGTGCCTATGAATATGCTGCACATGCCTGTCTACTATAATGCTTATAAACTGCATAAACAAGATGATAGAACTATGCCAATATTGAGGTTAATAGTCTTCCAGCCTGATTTTTACAGTTTTTCTATCTATGGAAGTGATATCTTGGAGTTGATTTTGGTGCTTGTGCGTGTCTTGCTAACTGTTAACAGATTAGATGTGCCTGGCATAGCACTGTTGTTCTCTTTCCTAATCAAGTTACAAACTTGACTGAACTTGAACATGCTATGCAAACTGCCATATTAGCTTTAGTTAACACTTAAATTAGGTGGGGAAGCAATCTGAAAATGTCATCGATATGCAATCTCATTTCTGTGGAAGGAAAACAGAGAATTTTGGTCCCTTGTGAGCTTCTACTTTATCTGTTTTATAGTATTTTTTTTATTTTGCTATTGGTCGCACAGAATGCTGATTTTGTAACTTTTTGCCTCTAGCTATTGGTGTATCTATTCTTCTGTGGCATTTTGTTTTATGTCATCGGCTGCATGGAATACTATTGTGTAACTCTTTACCACTAGCTATTGTGCATGTCGGGTCTTGCATTTCATCTTAAGCTTATGTTACATGTTTCCATAATAATGTTGCAGAATTCCGGAGTGTCATTACTCTTTGTCTCTAGCTATTGGTGCAAGCCAGGTCTTGCATTTCATCTCAGCTTATGTAGCATATTCCCATAATCATGCTACAGATGAATTCTTGGTATTAGGAGATGAAAGTAGACAGTTGTTGGTTCTCCGGCTGTTTTTATGTAATTATGTCAGTTAACAGTTTTTGTGAAGTTCAATTAGCTTTAAAAATATGGTTGTATATGTGGCATATGTTTCTGTGTTTAATATGTTTTGAAATTTTTTATTAGAGTATGGAGAAGACCGAGCTGATACTGTTAGATTTAAGAAACTTTCTCGGTGGAGTATGCAGCCTGTTCAGTCCAATTTTGGAAAGGAAATCTCGGTAGTTAATAATGGACATGCTAATGATGATGAGGCCTTAGCTAAGGGAGGCAAGCTAAGAAGAGGAAAGAATGGCTCCTCTGGCATCATTTCTGCAGATAAGGTACTTATTTTTAGTGGCGAGTTTGTCTCCCTACCATGCAATGGAGACTCAAATGCCATTGTTTCTTTTACTCCATGCGCAGGCATGCGAAAGTTCCATTAACTTCCGGATGCTGAATGATCACTAAGTAAACATTTTTTAAGTTGTGAAGACATTTCAAGTTACAATAGTAGATTGAACTAGTAATTTTATAGCAACCCAATCCTCTTGAGTTATTGTCATCCACATACGATAAAGTCCTGGTAGTACTATAATGCAGATTTTTAATTAATTTACATATCTTTGGTGATAATTAAGAGAAGTAATTCACGGGCATCTCAGAAAATGGTCTTGTGGAGATTTGATGTCTTGGGTCCTGGGTCCTGGGTCTGATATGCCTGCTGTGTTTTATTGGACACAGTTTAATTCTACTTTTAATTGGAGACCATAAGGAAACTTCAGGCCCTTCTATATTTATTGTGCAGTTGAAAGTTTCTGGTTCAGGGCATCTATTGCCAGCAACAAGCATGGCTGCCCATGCAATTGATGAGGTAGTTGAAATTGAAGAGAAGATAGAGGTAGTTGAAATGGATGCGACAGAACCTGAGGGAGGAGCTACCTATGAGTCAAAAGGCTTTCCATTTTCAATTCCTCCACCACTGCCTTGGGTTTCCATTAATACTTATTCACAGGTTAGTCCATTTTCTAGAGCATGGCTTTTTTATTTGGTGGTTATTGTCAATTTTTTATTTTTTTTAGTACTTGGAAATCGTGCATAACAATTGTGATTTAAGAAAAAACATCATAGTTCCTAAGAAATCCTCACAGGCAAGCATCTAATATGGACAGTTATTTACTTTGCAGTTTGAAGGTGATGATGAGAATGTAGACGTGGATGGTCTTGAAGAGCAGGTGGATGTGGACATAATTTAATGTAGAAAATGATATGACTATGGAATATCTGATTAGGGCCCTGTTTGCTATTTTAATTTGAATGAGCGTATCAAGTTGACAGTGAATTTTGTGTATATGTTGGGCTATGCATGTTTTTCTCTCAGCTTGCAATGGGTTCCTGAGCCTATCCATTTATCAGAAGCTTAGCAAAAGAGCACTCTTTGACCAACACTCCGCTCCCTATTATGGTGTACAGGCAGCGGGTATAAGAATCAAAATCTTACATCCATATAGGCCCAGAGTCTTTTTCGAGTTTTTTGAATGCAATGCAGCTCAAATAATTTTGTTTGAGTTGAGCAATTGGATGTCTGATGATTTGATAGGAGCTATGATTATCCATTAGTCACATATCTTTGCAGGGTTGAGGTCGCACCTGTTCCATTTTAGATAAGATTACCAATACTAGTCTTGGAAAACCAATAGTTACACTTCTTCAAAAAATGATCCTGTCCTAGGTTCTGCCTGAATAATCAATCGCATTGGCATGGTGAAGTAGAAGAGATTGTTAGTTGAATGGAAGTTCAATTGCAGGGTGCAGCACTTCCCAAAGGGCGTCTACTGATTGTACATAATCATGGACAGGAACACTTTTCCAAGGACCATATTCAATTATGATGGAACTCCATTCTATTCAATTGAATTTGGATTTTGGTAGGTTCAGTCCTGCGATGAATTTAAACTGTCTCGTCTCACTTTCTCAACTTAGATATCTAAGTTACTGAATTGAAAAATTTTATGTGAAAATTTTGGTCAGTTTTTGTGCATTTATTAAATGGAGTTCCTCTGAAAAGCTGATTGGTGAACTTGTCTTTATAGGGTTATGGAGACCAATTTGCACTTACAGATGCAGTTATTCCGCGGTCTGTAATTTTTCGAAATGTTAATAGTAATAACCTTACAATCAAATAATGAATGAAATTACCTAAGGAAATTGTCCAATCTTTAGGCTAGGAAAATAAAACTTAAAAAAACACATGATAAAAATTCCATTCATAGTATTTTAACAAAAAAAATTATGGTAAGTTAGTAAGATAGGATTTGAATTTTGCGTTATTTCCATGAAAAAGAAGGGAAATAACCATAATACAACATGCAGATAGTTTCCCAGTATAGTCTGCTATCTACAGAAACGCTTTTATGTTTGTTGTGGATGCCCCAAAAATGATAGTTTTAACCTCTCCATTCTCCACTGTCAAACTATAACTAACATTGCTTCTACTGAAAATTTATTTTTGATTTATACGTTTTTTAATATACATAATTTACTATATCTGAATTGTCGGTCTCTCACATTGAATCTCCTAATATTAATTTCTTAGTTGAAAATGAATTTCCATCCTACACAAAAATTTAGTGTAGAGATAGAAATAACTCAAACAAAAACTTTTTTCTCTTTATGCATATTAAAATAAATATGACCTTAATTAGGAATTGAACTGAAAAAAACCAAACACAACTGATTTTGGATATACTCTTGAGGTAAATGTGGATGTAGTAGAATAACTACATAAGCAAATCGAGAGGATTAAAATTTCAAAACCAGACAAGCGCTAAAATGTTGACTTGATTCTGAGCATGACAACATATGAAACTCTACCCTAACAAATATCCAGTAGACAAAGGAAAAACTCAACCATCTTGGTGAAACTTGAGTCCCTTTTTACTCCTTCCCTCTTGTTCCAGGTAGAACTTAATCAGTTAATCTATCTTAAACGTTAATTCCGGCTCTCTTCCAAGCACTTGGCACATACGCACTTGAAACCATAGTCTGCAAGGGATGCTTGCCTCTCTTCAAATGTCAGGTCCTCGTCTATATATGAAATGGTGATCTGAAAAATGAAAATTAACTCTTGCATGATATGATTATAACTCTTCAAAGATTTGACAAACATGACTAAACCCTTGTATGACTGTATGTTCATATATATTTTTTTTCTTCATAAATATAATTATCACAAGTAATTAGTAACTAGTGACATGTGAAAATAGTATTTTGTTGGAGGATTTAGTTAGGTTATGTCAGGAATATATTAAAAAATTTTGTGGAATTAATTTGAGAGTCAATACTTTGTCAAAATTGTATCTGAAAATCATAAAAATTTAAGTTAGAAATTTCATTTAGAAATGAAACTATGTATTCCAACTTCTATCAAAATACTTCAAATTTCCTAATAGAATTATGAATATACAAATCAGATATAGTGTATATTTTTCAAATGAATTTCCACAAATTCTGCATTTGTTCCAAAAATAATCTTAATCAATAAGTTAAGATTGGATATGCCACATGCTGAGAAAATTACCTCTTCTCCCTTGCAAATCATTCTCATAGCAATGATTGTTGCTTGACCATCTCTGTCCTGCAAATGAAGATCAAATAAAAGCATGTTTTACATTCAATCTTCAACTAGATACTTATGCCACGTGAATGAAAAAATCTCACATTGGATGAAGTAGGGTGAAAATGAAATAAACTCATTAAAGGTAACAAACAGCATCTGTAATTTGCATGCACTTGTATTTTCTCATACCTCCTCTCTTTTGAATGCTTTGGCATTAGGGCAGCACGAATGGTTCATGCAACTCTGCAGAGGAAAGAATGCAGTGCCTAATTGAACCCCAAAATGATCCCAGCATCACAAAGCAGAAAGAAAGTTCAATCAGATCCATGGGTTAATCTGAAAACTTTGGGCAATTTCATTGTGGAAGAAAGAGTAAACAGCGAAAAAGATGCAGAAATTTAGCAAAACATGAGGAGAAGAGGAAGTTTCGGTTGTATGTACTACATAAGAACAAGATGATTAGGGAACATCGTTGGGCTTTGAGAAAATGAATAGACAACCTTATTGTCCAATTACAAGAAACAAGGAGATCAGGAAAGTGTTGTAAAATAAAAAAATTTACAAAGGTTGTATGTGGTTAGGAAAATATGCTGGGGTCTTGAGATGTCACTGATCCATACAAGTCACAGGTTAAAAATGGTAACTTTTATTTAAATCAGAACGACTTGATAAAATTGATTCAAAAGGCAAAATAGCATGATCATTATGTATGGCTATCACAAAATCTAAGACTTCCACAAAAATGTCAGTCATAATACTATGTCGAAACTCTGAGTTTCCTTAAAAACAAAAAGCCTGAGGGCTATTTTGACAGGTTCAAAGCAGACAACATTGAGCCTGAAATTTCAGATGACCAAAGGCCTCCAAATGACAGGAGGCTCCAAGGAAGCTTCACAATTGCAGTGAGAAAGCTGACAGAAGGATAGAACTGAGGTCATTTTGGCACATAACAAGCTCATAAGAGCTGTTTTGTGAATCCTCACATGCCCCACCACTTAATATTCTATGAGTCAACTAAAACCTGCATGATACTTGTAGGCTGTAGCTCAAGTTTGATTAAGCCCCAAATAAACCAAAAGAAAAAGTTTTGGCTCCACACCTGGGTTTCTTAAGATAGCAATGAATTAAACTGTCTTTATAATTCAGTATTAAGAAGCAAATGGCAGAATATACAGAAATTTTTGCACGTAAAAATGCAAAGTTTAGTACAATGGATTGATCAGCATAAACTGGAAAATTGCCTCAAAGCATACCTTGGCAACAAACTGAATAGTCATCACCAAGAGCATCCAGAAGTTGTCGTGTGATTGCCTCGGCTTCTTTCTGAGATAATAAGTAACAGAGCAGGGCATCAGAAGGTTCTATTATGGAGGGGGAAAAAAGAAGCATCAAGGGCCCGTGCTCTAACCTTCTTACTGGTTTGAAGGTCATCAATATACAAAAAGTAATCCTCCACAGGTGATGCAACAACCAAATCTCTGTCATAAACAAAATTTCAGATTTGCGAATAGATAGTCAAGATTAACCAGGAACTAGAAGCCTCAAATAAATTGCAACGACTTACAGATTATTCAGCTCAAACATGCCAATAATATGCCCATATATTTCAAGGGAAAATACTTGTTAGTGTCAAGGAGTTCTATGTTTGAGCAATAGGAATAGTACAAGCAATATTTTACAGCAAAGAAGAATTTTCCACAAGATCTACACCTTAGAAAGGATACATGGCTCACATCCCTTGTCAAAAATAGCTTCCTTAAGGAGCTGCAGTGACTGAGAATTCACAACTGATTGTCAGGTTAAAGGAACTTTCATGTTGAGGAAAAGTAGTCAAAAAGAAGAGGGCAAAAGCAAAACACATACTGACTATTGGAATTATGGAACATGAAAACGATGTTACTAACATGTAGACAGATTTTTTCCCTGTAACCCACTTTTGATCATCAAATTGATTGTTTCCTTTAGTAAACGAAAGCCAATATCCATGTAATCTACCAATTAAGTCTCGAGTTAGGTTCAGTCCTTTCCAGTTCCATCAATTAGATTATCATCTGCCTATCTAATATAATCTGCACCTCAGTTAGCAGACACTTAATAATTGGTGAGAGCAATCATATCAAGACCAAACAAATCTGTTCTGCTACTAGAAACATAACGTGTCTTCCTAGAATAAACCGGGAAAGAGGCTATAAATGCAGATAAGATACAGGACTAGATTGTAGCCTGATAATTTTTGCTAAAATGCAAGCATTATGAAGATACCTGGTTGAAACTGCCTTTCAACCTGGCATTTTTTCACACCCATGCCTCTAAAATGAAGCCTTACCTTGAATGCAAGCTCCCTTATTTCCATCCTAAATGCAACTTCATCAGAAGGTTCAACATCATCTGGCAACGCAATGCAGTCCCACCACCTAAGAGTAACAAGAGAGCAGTATTAAGTATTATGTGACATTGGGAGCACAGCCTGCAATAGAATATAGGCAAACAGGAAAAACACCTTAAAACATACCTCCCAATTATCTACCAATGCAATCACAATGCTCATATCCAGTAAAGTGCAATGTGATGTTACATTTTGATGTTTAGAAACCATTTGGTTAATACATGCTATACATCTGCATACTAGGTCATTGTATTTCCTAAAGACTTCATACTTACAAAATGGATAAAACTGATAAATAATCACCTTCTCTTGTATCCAACTGAAATTGGCTTCCATGCCTCTAAAAGTAAAGACAGATTGGGACTTTCCAAAAAATACTGTATATTGCCCTTCCCTTGTTCCTTCAGATGATCCGCTTTTAGTTTTCTGTATCTTAAAATGGTAAAAGAAATTGCCTGTAGATGACAAGCAAAATAAGGATGTAAATTTCTTATTCGTCCATCAAGCTTCCATTAGGTAACATTAAGCATATTGTAGTTATAATAGAACAGACCTTAGCAGCAAGAAGGAAGATATCATTTGTTTCTGGAAAAAGCAAAATAACAAGTAGATGATAAAAGAAAACCTAAAGGAATGTAAGCATAGATAGAACTATTTACTTGGGACAAAAAATTTCATTTGGAAGAATCCAAGACATTAGAGCTTTACCTTTAGCATGTTCTATGAATTTCAAAAGTGCATCTGTTGATAGCGATTGTGACCTTTGTCCGGTGCAAAGAAAAGAATGAGATGATCCCCAATCCAAGTCAGCACATGATTTGCTGAATCACATTGGCAAATTATCACAAGTAAAAATGCATGCTTGCCATAAACAAAGTTTGAGCAACCACACCCTCGAAATAAGTTATGCAATTACCTAACCTTTTAAATACTACTATAAAGGGGTCAAAGAGCCAAGCAAGTACCTTGTCCTGGGTGCTGAATATGATCTTTACCAAAGATTAAGTGGTAATGACTAGTGTCCTAGTTATGTCGTTGGAATGCTAGAGGCTAGTAATTCTCCATTTGGGAGAAATTTAAGGAAAACAATTATATAATGGTAAAAATTAACTAAACTAGAGCCAGTTAATGATTATTCAAGCAGTTTTTCTAACAATAAGGGTGTATGTCTAGTTTATTTCCTCTCTAGTAGTTTAGAAGTAGGAAGGCCAACTTCTTGTATGACATGTATAGATCTAGAAGGAATTTTCTTTAAAAGGCCTTAGCACCCCTAGCAGTAATAGGCTGCCTAAATTTGCTTTCTTATCAGTGTACAAATTGATCCAGTGGAGAAGGAAAAATTCTAAACAAAACAGTAGATTTTGAAAACAAGAACATTTGCCAAGCAAGAAGGTGTTACATTGTTACCTACAGTAGTAAGCCTCTCCACATCCCCCGGAACACTGAATAACTGAAGGCAGAGAAAACTTGTCCGAGTATGGCAACACCAAATCTCCATTCATTAACAATTCAGCCACTCCTTTGGAATGGCTAAATTGTCCAACGGCACATTTTTTCATCTTTTCACTGTATTTCATGTATGAATTGTCTTCTTCGTCAACTGAACCACTACTAAGACAATCTTTCACATTGCGTGAAGAAGAGGTTTTTGTATCACATTCATGATTTGTGGAAACACCTATGTTTTGCAAATAAAGCTTCCGCCCAATTTGTAGTTTTATTGAACCGATAAATTGAAAACAATAGCTACAGACAAAACAGTCAATTTGCAAGTGAAAAAGAAAAGAAAAAGAAAAAAAAAAAAAAAAAAAAAAAAAAAGAGGAGAAGGAAACAATAAGAGAAAATAAATATCAAAGGAATGAAAAATAATAGTTGAGGCAAAAGTGAAGGAAAGAGATAGAGAGGACTTGTTGAAGGATGTTGGATACCAACAAGCATTTGGTCTTTCAGGACAAGTTCCCGTTCTTCAAAGTCCATCTCAGCATACACCCGTAAACTTATCAACAAGTTAAGCAAATCATTATATATAACCTATTCATCTCTGGAGAAAAAAGTAGAGCTATCAATATAGTACCCTTTCCGGACTCTGTATTCTCTTTAACTCTAACACCATGGCATTGTCTGGCGGATACAAGCTCATCAAAATACTCCTGAATATGATTAGAGGGGAAAAAGATCAAATTCTGGAGTCAACAGTAAGAGGAATCAAGAAAAACAGTGTTGTAAAAGCTTATTAGAATTTAAATCCTTTTGCTGCAGTTATCTTCGTAATAAAAGTCAAGTTATTTATACTGAAACCGCGAGTGTGCAAACATTTATGTGTGTACATGGAGAGAGGTATAGAGAGATTGCCTGGACTTGAAGAGATGGAGGAGGTTGAAGAAGAGCAGAGATTTCGTTGGCGCACTTCTTGTCGATTGGGCAAACGGAGTCCATTGTTTAGTTTCCGATTGCTGCTTCCCTTTCAACTCTTAAAGCTATAATTATATTATGACTTGTACATTTAAATTATTGGTAGAATTTATTTTAATTAAAATTTATTGCAATTTTTTTTTTTTTTTTGGTGTTTAATTAAGTTTATATAGAATAAAAACTAATGAGGTTTGAAATTTATTATTTTGCAATTTACATGTTTAATTCTTTTGACAAAAGTGAGTTAACGAAATTAGTGTGAAAAAGAAAAATACTAAGAATCTAAACCATCCACCTTCCAGACTACCTTAAATGATTTGATGCATAAATACGTTTTTAATTTTCAATGCCAAATCCATTTATGTAATATTTTGAAAAAAGAAAATCAAACTTTGTTAAAAAAAAAAAAAAAATCATATTTTGATTTATTTAAATTATTAAAATTACAAAAACTTTAGATAAAAATAAAAAAATTTAAGTAAATAAAATTTCGTATCAAAATTAATTATATGTCTGGATAAAAATTATTTTTTTCTTAATTTTTTGCAAATAAATTTAAACTATAAACACACCAAAAAAAAAAGAAAAAAAACCACTCCTTCATTTTAGCTGAACATGTTAAAAGAAATCCTGCAAAAACCCACCATACATGAAAAAGATGAGTTGGAATATATGGTATCGACCACCAAAATTATTGCTAAAAATTACATATTCCTTGACTACCATAAGTTACAAACACCAATTCTTTCATGCACCTTTTTCCCAGTCACCAAAGTTTCAGATGTAAACCTATATCACAAATTTTGAGACAAACAAAGCTTCTCCCTTCGACCTAAAACCACCTGTGCAGAACAACAACCAGGCAAGAACTATGACCTGCAACATTAAAAACCATTCGGGAGAAAAAGAAGACTAATATATATTTCTGTTGTCTTTGCTAGTTTGTGAATCAAGTACATCCAAAAAACTGTTCTATGGATGGAGCGCTGAACACGTTAGCAGCAGTTCGTTCAGGACGTACAGGAGAAACATGGAGCTGATATTTGATAAACCTCTGCAGTCAAATTAAAGATGAAACTTGCATTAGTCTTTCTTAATAGAAAGCAAATCAATGCGAGAAAATGGTAGAAGGGGTTGCAATGGTGTATCTAGAAATTGGTAGGCAAACACATACCGCTAACTGAGAAAGAACTTCTGGATTTGAATCAATATGCCAATCTGGCTCTAGTTGACGAACAAAAGATGACCTCCCAATCTCCGTACTACAAAAAAGGACCTGCATGCATTTCAACATAATGCAATGTCAGCAATATTTTAGAAAAATAAAGAATCAGAGAAAGTAAATCAGAATATAAAACTGCACTCAGAGATCAACAGGTTAAAATTTGTAGAAGACAGATCTCAGAGTTCAAATTTAAAACATGGCTGGGACTTGGAGGTCATATGCTGCAAGAAATCTATTTTTAGCCCCATAGAAAAGTTACTTCATACAGGCATCAAAACAAACTCTATGAGCCTTTGCTAGGAAGACTTCGAAAAAAGGACCTGAAACATATAATTATCTCTCCAGATTATTCTCAAAACTCTGTAACGCAAGCAACCAAGTAGTTGCAGTTGCTTAAAATCGTGACTTCTATTACAAGTCACACACTGCAACACATGGAATGCTCTACTGATTTTTCAAAAATAAAGTCAGCAGTTTCAAGTATGAGTTCATTTACCTTGTCTTTCACCAAACCCCCTGAAGTAAATACTCCTGCGTTCTCCAGAGCCTGAAGAACCTTGTTCTGCAGATAATAGAGTTTTTTATATAACTGAAAAGTATGCAAACTGCTTCTGCTAGCATATAAAAAATAAAGGAACAAATACAAGCGAAGTATCTTCTGAAAGATAAAACAAAACCTGCATCTCTTTTTCTAACCATTTAAGGTTTTGAATAAGTCACTCAAATTTCCTTTACAAGATACTGAAGCTTCAAATCTCATGTTTGAATCCCCCCATAGACACCATTCTCACTAACTAATTGCCAACTAATCTTGTAAAGGGGTGCGTTAGAGCCATGCTTTTAACTCCTATAGCTCTTAATCCATTTGGATCTTATTTCCTCACGCAGTAAGGACGCACACCAGAGACTGGGTTTGCATGTAAAGGGAGTGCTAAAACATACCGATAAAGTTGGGTCTGACCTTTTAAGTTTGCTTAATAGAAAAACAAAAAATATACTAGTTATGGAAAGAAAAATACCCAGTCCAGTGATTTCCACTACATCAGCTAGCATATAAAAAGAAAAAAAAAAGCGACCTTCAAACTTAATTCATGGATGCCAAAAGAATTATCAACATGACATCCTGATAAATTAAAGGAATGTGCTAGCTGAATCTTGAATCAGGTAAATAAGCACTCAATATCTCAGTAGAAAGTCATTCATATATCATTCTCTTAAGAGTCTTAAAGGGATTCTCTACATTCTGAGTAATGAGTTTCTCATACATGTTTAGCAACTTCGGAGTAAAAAAAATGGAAATATACTAGAGCTAACATGTTAATGAGAACACCAAGGAATTTATTCTCCCAAGGACTAAACGTAAAGATGTAACAATTAACGACATTAATAGAAGTTTAGGTCAACAATAAACTCTTTGAATGGTTTACAGATATCACTAATCTAAAACCTGGATGTAAAAAACAAAGAGATAAAACTGTTAATCAATAAGGCAGATATAACCAAGCGAAGAAAAAACATTATTAGAATTTATTAATGTTACATAGCAACTACATGAATATCTAAGCATATATATGTGAGAAAATCTAGTAACATTTCATATCAATTTTCTTGAAAGTGGATTCAGTACGCTGAAAAGAGAAGTAATAAAAAATTTCATTATCTAAACATGCAGATGAGGATGAAAGAGCAAGAACAGAGAGTGATCTACTTTTTAGGACATTCGCATATTGCCACAATAAAGAACATCATGCATAATACAACTTTCAAGCAAGTTCTACCATGATGACAAGTAACCAGAAAAAGGTAAGTGATGGTGAATTAATAACCAAGCAAAAAACTAGCACGCACTTCACTTTCATCATCAAGAACTCTTTCCATGAGATAAAGATCACAGAATTTTGTTATCTCCAACAGCACTTCCAGCGCAGACAATCTCACAGTTGCATGTTTCTGTCCAAAACAAAATAAATCAGTGATTCTTTACCCAATGGCTGTTTAGAGATCAAAATTCACAGAAAAGATTACAACCTGGAGTTCCTCTGGACTTGTTTCCTCAAGGATTACTCCAAGCAAACGGCATGTTACCTACAAAAAAGATTTGAATTCTTCATGTCAGTGTCGAAATCTATATATGAATTAAAAGTGACTCAAACTCATATCATAGAAATTGACTGACTTCATTAGCCATAATCGCTCACAATTCTCATGATTAGTACATTTCAGAACTAGGATCCAGGACATGCTTAAAAGTGGAAGCTCAGGGGGAGGAAAAAAAAATAGGTTAGCATATATTTCAAGAATATAGGTACCATGAAAATGCTAATTTCAGATCAGACAACAGATTCTCAATACTCAAGAAGACTAGAAAATAGTAAAGACCACAGCCAACGATCAAAAATACACACAGGTGGAACAGTTATCGTAGAAACTTCAGGAGGAACAGGAAGCAATTAGTACTACAGAAAAATAGTATACCAAAAGTCGCATGACAATCTAAAAGTAACCAATCAACACAACAATTCACGTATGCTGCATCATACATGCAATACAAATATGAATTTGCCCATGCTGAAGTAGGATAAACTGATATGATCTACCAACTTAGGAATTATGTGCTGTTTTGGCGCATCAACAGTAACAAAACCTTTTTAGACATCACATCTAGTGTGTCCTAAAAATTCACACCAGCTAATGATTGCTTCACCAAATCATAAAGAGTACAAATTGTTGCAAATTTTCTGGATAGATAGTACTCTATCCTGAAAGAGATAGTTTGAGTACGTACAGCCTCCAAGGTCCCCTAATCCAAGTAGAACCAATTGGAAACTTAAGAGAATTTAAATGCTAAATAATTAGTACTAGAAATGCAACAGATTTTGAATATGTTTAAGGATAGTACTATTTCTGTCCCATAGTTTCCTGTGTTAAACCTCCTTTGCATCAGCGGAAGCATAAGATTCTGTCAATAAGGATCCAGTACAAGCACATGGGCTCTCTGTTTCCAAGAGTGAATCTAGTCATGCTAACGAGACAATCTGACTACTCCTCTTAATATCACGTGATATTCTTCTCATGTAAATGGCACGTTAGACTGACAGGAGATAGAAACATTTTCTTCCCTGCATTTGTGAAGCCACATGGATTTTCATCTTCGCCATTGAAGAAGTTAATAAAAAGTTGTGCCAATCCCACAGATTAATG